AGTGTAAAGCACACAATAATAAATCATGCTTGTTTACATAACATTTCTAATGGGGTCGAAAGTCAGACTTATGTAAAACAATTTAAGGGTAACTTTTAAAGGTTGTCTATCTTGGGGTGACAGGGGGATGCATCTTATCTCATCACACAAATAATTAAATGAGCCGCGTCATGACAAAACCAACATAGTGCGTTTGCGACCAGCATGGATCCAGACCAGCCTGCGCCTCCGTGCAGTCTGATCAGGATCCATGCTGTTCGCTTATACAAACTCTATAACAAGTAGAGAAACTGATAGAGAACAGCATGGATCCTGATCAGACTGCGCTGATCGCAGGCTGGTCTGGATCCATGCTGGTCTCAAACCCATTATATTTGTTTTGTCATGACACGGCTCAAATGTACATTAGGTTTAATTATAGCTAGTTATATCATTTGTATATCTTTCAAGGTCTAAATTTATCGGATGCTGTGGTGGATGGTGTTGCACTTTGGAACATTAATATTTAAGTATCTTAATTGTTGTCTAGCCATGTAGACATATACTATTTTAAATTGTAAATATGTTTATTATATAGTTTTAATATTTTATAGATTTTATATGTGGTCCTAGGAAGTGGTTGTGACAAACAGAAGTATCATTGAAAAGATTTTTTATTGTTTAAAAAGATGATGATAATGTTATAATTGTCCTGTTATAAGAGAGGGTACTCTTTATAAACGTCTTGGCCTTTTAACTTTATTTTATTTAAATATGCTGTTCATTTCTACAAATCTACTTAGTATTTTAACTACAATGTAGGTATGGGAGTATAATCCCATCTTATTCCTATCATAAGTTATGTACTCATAACGGGAATTATGTTTATCACGTAAACACATGTACAGATAAAACTAAAGTTAAAATAATATCAGTACCCCGTTCAATGAAGACAGTTTTAAATGAAGTATATGCTCGCTAACATATGGTTCATTCCGGAGGCGAGGGTAAATAAACCAAGTACACACACGCACATCACTTTGTCAAATTATCAAAGTCAATGTCATGAATGAGCCTAGGTCAATTTGAGCTAGATATACATGAAAGACTTATCCTAAAGAATATTGTGTTTAAAAAAAGTCAAACCGTTCATTAATAACAAAGTTATAGTCACTTACAATAAAAAAATGAAAATTTTAATCATTTGACCTTAAAGGTCAAGGTCATGTATGAGTGAAAGTCAAGGTCTGTCTGGTTAACTAGAAGGTATATTCTAAAAGATTGTTGTGTTCAAATTTGAAGACAATCTATTAAACAAGAGGGCCATGATGGCCCTGAGGTCGCTCACCTGTATATAGGCCCCCAGAGCGAGGCCAGTTTAAACCCAAGGGCTGTTATTTGAACAAACTTGGAAGACACCCATTAGAAGATGTTTCATGATGTTAAGTTTTTACTATACATATATAATGAAAAACAATGACTTCCCCCACCCAAACCCCCCCCCCTTGGCAGGGCTAATTTTAACCAAAGGGCTTTTATTTGAACAAACTTGGTAGACAACTATAAGAAGATGTTTCATGCTTAACATCTAAGGTCTAACTCATTGGGTTTTTTAAAAGAAGATTTTTTAAGTTTTTACTATACACATATAGTTAAAAACAATGACACCCCTGGGGCGGGGCCAGTTTTGACCCCAGGGCTTGTATTTGAACAATCTTGGTAGACTCTTACTAGAAAATGTTTCATGCTTAAACATATCTAAACTCTAGCTATTTGGGTTTTTTCAAAGAAGATTTTTGAGTTTTTGCTATACACATATAAGGAAAATCAATGACCCCTGGGGCGGGGCCAATATTGACCCCAGGGCTTTAATTTGAACAAACTTGGTAGACACCCATTAGAACATGTTTCATGCTAAATATCTTAGCTCTAGGTCTTTGAGTTCTTTAAAAGAAGATTTTTTAAAGTTTTTACTATATGCATATAGGGAAAATCAATGGCCCCCTGGGGCGGGGCCAATTTTGACCCCAGGTCTTTTATTTGAACAAACTTGGTAGACACTCATGAGAAGATGTTTCATGCTAAATATCTTAGCTCTAGCTCTTTGGGTTCTTTAATAGAAGATTTTTTAAGTTTTTACTAAATGCATATAGGGAAAATCAATGACCCCCTGGGGCGGGGCCAATTTTGACCCCAGGGCATTTATATGAACAAACTTGGTAGACACTCACTAGAAGATGTTTCATGCTTAATATCTAAACTCTAGCTATTTTGGTTTTTTAAAAGAAGATTTTTTAAGTTTTTGCTATACACATATAAGGAAAATCAATGACCCCCGGGGCGGGGCCAATATTGACCCCAGGGCTTTAATTTGAACAAACTTGGTAGACACCCATTAGAACATGTTTCATGCTAAATATCTTAGCTCTAGCTCTTTGAGTTCTTTAAAAGAAGATTTTTTAAGTTTTTACTATATGCATATAGGGAAAATCAATGACCCCCTGGGGCGTGGCCAATTTTGACCCCAGGGCATTTATTTGAACAAACTTGGTAGACACTCACTAGAAGATGTTATATGCCAAATATCTCTAGCTCTAGCTCTTTGGGTTTTTTAAAAGAAGATATTTAAAGTTTTTTCTTTCGGTTGCCATGGCAACCAGAGATCTGCATGGAATTAAATTCTTTGAACAATTTTTAAAGGTGACCACCAAAGGAACATTCCTGTGAAGTTTGGATGAAATTGGCTTGGTGGTTTATGAGGAGATGTCATTTAAAGTAAAAGTTTACGGACGGACGGACGGACGGACGCACGCCGGACGAAAAGCGATCACAAAAGCTCATTATGTCACCTTGTGACAGGTGAGCTAAAAATAACAAAGTCACAGCCACTAATAGCAGAAATGAGCAAAAATCAAACAAGCACATTTAAGACATTTGACCTTGAAGGCCAAGGTCACTTACAAATATACAGACAAAAGCAGTCAAGTAAGCATATTAATTACTTTGTGTTAAGAGTATAATTCAATTGTGAATATCAAAAGAAATTTTGTCCATTAATAATCCTCATATTAATCAGTTGTTACTTGTGGACATTATAACTTTATAAGACAAGGGGACTAACTAGTACAATAATTTTCAATCTTTATATGGAAAAGTTATCTCGCTTCCTACAAACAATAGGTCATCAAGTATTTTCATTACAAATTAAATTCATGATATAACATGTATTCTTTTTGCAGATGACGTTGCAAATTGCGCCGAAACAGCAATTGAAATGCAATTACAATAAAACAAAACTGATATCAACAAATAAATGATTCGTCTCCTTGTGATACATGTTAACTATGTTAAATCCTGAAAGACATTTATATATTAATCCATCATTTTATATAAAGAAGAGCATTTGCAAAATTCCGTTGTTCAAGTCATAGGTTTTTAATTGGAACTGGACGTCATATTGGTCTTCCAAGAGAAGATCGTTATTGTCAATTATGTTATGTTAATTTTGATACACAGTGTCTTGAAGATGAATTTCATGTATACTTTCAATGTTACAAATATAGACATGAACAACAACATTTTTTATTAAACTGGTATAATGGTAGATTTGAATACATAGATTTTTGTAATTTGATGCAGTGTTCTGATGATGACAAAATAAGTTCAGTTGCATTTATTGTGCATGCAATTATAAACATGAAATGTATAATAACATGACACAACCTTAAACATATGATGTTGTACTGTATACACTGTATTTTGGGCCAGAGGCCTTTATTTACAAATAAAATTTGAATTTGAATATAGAAATGACTATGGTTGGACATGTCACTTAACCCTTTACCACATATATACGCGAAACAACGCACTTTCGACACACCCCCCCCTCTTTTTTAGGCCTCAAATAGTGAAAAAATGTCCTATTTGGGCCCCAAACATAAGTTTTCGTTTGAGAAATGTTGCTAAAAAAATTGAGCACTTTTTCGGCGCCGCCCCCCATCCAAAAGATACATCAGGGGGTTACCAGAAGGGAGATGTGCCCCCTTCTGTTAGGGGGGTTTGAAGGGGGGCGGATTCCCCCTCATCGCCAAGAAAATTTTGGACTTGTGAGAGGGTAAAAATGACCCCAGGTCGATCATAATGTAACGTTTAACCAACGCTGAAAAGCCTTTGACTCTATCTCAATCCCTTGAGCAGTTGCAGCACTTTGAAATAAATTTTGATGGAAAAAATCGAGGCAAAATAGTGATTTTTGGCAATTTTGAGATGTCCCCTCGTTACCATGGTAACAGAAAATTTAAGACTGAGCATGTCTTTACAAAGGCAATGGTCCAGTCAACATTTGTGCCAAGTTTGTTTAGTATTGAAGCATTTTTCATAGTTTCATAGCAGTTTGAACTTGTAACAGGAGGCTTTTCAGTGAAAACGGCCATTTTTCACAATATGCTCATGGGGGAAAGGGTTAAACAAGAATGTCAAGATGAGTCTTAGGTGTATTGCTAGAACAGCCTATAATAATACAATATAAAACTAAGAGTTAAATAGTTTTCTGGAAAGATGACAAGTAACTCTCTCTCACTTTCAATATAAGTTTATTATTCAAATTCCATAAGACAACATGGCCCCAAAAAAATATACAATATAAAACATATAAATAGAGGATATTCAAGTTTCTTCTATGAATACGGGATTTATTTTCATTGAGTGGTATGAAAATAAAAATTTCAAAAAAGGCAGAAGCCACGAGTGAAAAATATGATAATTTTAATTCCATGAAAATGGTAAAATAATAAAAGATGAAAATAAATCCTGTATTAATAGAAAAAACTTGAATGTTCTGTTTATTTTATACTCTTCCTCCTTTTTTAACCTAATTAGTAGGAAGAATTCCCTTTTTATTTTATGTATTGGTTGGATTTAGAAGAAACTAGTCTGGCAAGACACCAGTGAAAATATGGAAAATATGTTTCACTGCAGTGAAAAATAAATTTTTACAGTGAAAATAAGGAAAATAAAAATACTTAATTTATTTCATCAATATTTAATTTTCTCAATATTTCATTTATAAGAATATAATAAATTGCAAGAAAATGTGCAATGTCAAAAGCAGCTAAATAAATATCCATCAACATTATCTCCCATATTTAACTGCATAAGCATATAACACTTTCACCCAAATGACAAATTAATATGAAATAATTATTTGGGCTTCAGTATTCCCATATTACACACAGTACATAAACAAATTGGTGTTATTTTATGAAAAGCTCTAAATATTATATAAGCAGTCATAAGATGCTTCCTTTGAACACTCTTTTATGACATAAGCAACATATGGTTTCTACATAATTCACATAAATAAATATTGCACTGAATGAAGCTTTTATGACATAAGCAACTTATGGTTTTTACATCATAAGTTCACATAAATAAATATTGCACTGAATGAAGCTTTTTATGACATAAACAACATAATGGTTTCTGCATAGTTCACATAAATAAATATTGCACTGAATGAAGCATCAAACTTATCTTTATAAGCTCACAATTATATTATTATTGTACTAATGAAAAAATACACAGCTCAATAATATGAGACAAAAGGGCTAAAGTAGCCCTTAAGATACATGAAGCTCACTCCATTGAAACATTCCATCCCAAAGAAAAACAAGAGCACCGCTAGACAGAGCATTATATGCCCGAAAGTGTTTTTTTGTAAGGATGAAGCATTTGTAAGACATGGGAATTAAATAAAGCATTACCGTAATAGTGACCTTGACCTTGTGACCAAAAAATTAATAGGGGTCTTCTTCTCATTATTGACACTCATCCTATGAAGTTTTCACACTGTGGGACAAATGGAACTTAAGTTATGCTTCAGGAACCACAATTTTCAGTGTAAAGATCATTATTGTGACCCTAACCTTTGACCTTATGACCCTAAAACCAATAAGGATCATGTATTGGACATGGCTATTCATCCTAGAAAAAATTTACAGCTGTAGGTTGATTAATAATGAAGTTATTGAGAGGAAACTGTTTTCAGTTTTAAGGTAATAGTGACCTTGACCTTTGACCTTGTTACCCCCAAAATACATAGGGGTCTTCTACCCAATATGGACAATCATCCTTAGAAGATTGAATATTGTGGGCCAAATGGAACTTAAGTTATGCTCCGGAAACCAAATTGCTAACGGACGGACTGACAGACAGACGCCAGGGGGTATAACATAATATGCCCGAAATTCTTTCGGGCATATAAAAAGAAGAAAATTACAATTTTCAATGTCACAATGAACATACCAGTACTGCACAAATGTTCAACTCAATTTCTTTAAAATATTTTTTTCTTATTTTTTACAAATTATAAAGCAGGTAACTCACTTATCACAGTGAATAGTGTTTTGCTAAATTAATGTAACAGTGAAATCTGGTATAATTAAACTGTAGATAGCAAAACCATATTTGCATGCAGAAAGAAAATCTTATTTATATACATGCACATCATATAAATTTCAATAGAACTACAAAAGTAAAATTGTTAGCAATAATTACATGGACATCAACATAATGCTCATTCACATGTAACAATATGCATACAGCCTCCATTTCTCTTGGCTGGTTCCCTCCAATTATAAAATGGCAAAATTTATTCCCCCCGAAAATTTGTAGTGTATTCTAATAAACAAAAATCCAAGAATTATTGAATTATTTTTCAATGGAAAAAAGTGAGGTCATAATTTAATGATGTCAAAAAGGAATATATTGGATGTTATGTACCAACTAACAGAACCAAACTATATTAAAACCATTGTTAGAGCATGAAGTAAACAAGATATGTTTGTAAAACATGTATGCCCCCTATCAGCAGCCAATTATTCATGTGATAAGGTAATTATGCATGACTTCTGACCCAGTGATCAAACAATTAATAAGGGTTATCAAGTATCTACTGGTCATGACCTTGACCTTTGACCCCTTGACCCAAAACTCAATAGGGGTCATCTGCTGGTCAAGACCAATCATCATACAAAGTTTGAAGTTCCTAGGCCTAAGCGTTTTTAGTTAATTGATCAGAAACCGTTTTTACCTACAAGGTCAATGTGACCTTGACCTTTGACCCCTTGACCCCAAAATCAATAGGGGTCATTTGCTGGTCATGACTAATCACCATGCCAAGTTTGAAGTTCCTAGGCCTAAGGGTTCTTTTATTATTGATCCGAAACCGTTTTAACATACAAGGTCAATGTGACCTTGACCTTTGACCCCAAAATCAATAGGGATCATCTGCTGGTCATGAAAAATCACCATACCAAGTTTGAAGTTCCTAGGCCTAAGCGTTCTTAAGTTATTGATCAGAAACCGTTTTACTTACAAGGTCAATGTGACCTTGACCTTTGACCCCTTGACCAAAAACTCAATAGGGGTCATCTGCTGGTCACCACCAATCATCATACAAAGTTTGAAGTTCCTAGGCCTAAGCGTTTTTAGTTAATTGATCGGAAACCGTTTTTACCTACAAGGTCAATGTTACATGACCTTTGACCCCTTGACCCCAAAAACAATAGGTCATCTGCTGGTCATGACCAATCACCATACCAAGTTTGAAGTTCCTAGGCCTAAGGGTTCTTAAGTTATTGATCGGAAAGCATTTTTACCTACAAGGTCAATGTGACCTTGCCCTTTGACCCCTTAAACCCAAAATCAATAGGGGTCATCTGCTGGTCATGACCAATCACCATACCAAGTTTGAAGTTCCTAGGCCTAAGGCTTCTTTAGTTATTGATCAGAAACTGTTTTTACCTAAGAGGTCAATGTGACCTTGACCTCTGACCACTTGACCCCAAAATCAATAGGGGTCATCTACTGATCATGACCAATCACCATACCAAGTTTGAAGTTCCTAGGCCTAAGGGTTCTTTAGTTATTGATCGGAAACTGTTTTTTACCTAAGAGGTCAATGTGACCTTGACCTTTGACCCCTTGACCCCAAAATCAATAGGGGTCATCTACTGATCATGACCAATCACCATACCAAGTTTGAAGTCCCTAGGCCTAAGGGTTCTTTGGTTATTGATCGGAATTAACCCCAAAATCAATAGGGGTCATCTACTGGTCATAACCAATCACCATACCAAGTTTGAAGTTCCTAGGCCTAAGGGTTCTTTTGTTATTGATCGGAAACCGTTTTTACCCAAGAGGTCAATGTGACCTTGACCTTTGACCCCTTGACCCCAAAATCAATAGGGGTCATCTACTGATCATGACCAATCACCATACCAAGTTTGAAGTTCCTAGGCCTTAAGGTTCTTTACTTATTGATTGGAAACCGTTTTTGCTTACAAGGTCAATGTGACCTTGACCTTTGACCCCTTGACCCCAAAATCAATAGGGGTCATCTACTGATCATGACCAATCACCATACCAAGTTTGAAGTTCCAAGGCCTAAGGGTTCTTTAGTTATCACTCGGAAACCATTTGGTCTACGGACCGACGGACCGACAAGTGCAAAGCAATATACCCCCTTTTCTTCGAAATGGGGGCATAATAAAAAGTCTCAATGACAATAGTAAGTTCAATAACTGAACTTTCTATGCCTATGTCTCTATGCCTAACATCTCCATTCATCATATCACTCAAGACTGGGTATTTGAATTTTGAGCAGAAGCATAAGTTACAATGGCAAATTTTGACTGATAGAAAACGACCTCAATCAATTGGACATACAGGCCAAAAATATGAAGAAATACATAAAAATACATAAAAACAAACAAACTGCTGTTGATCCATCATCTTTGACATTTTTACTGTATTAGGTAAAATAATTAAAAACTTGTTGGATTATCTAAAATAGAAACAAGATGGCCCTAAATTACTCATCAGAGGATATGGTTTACATTGACAAGATTTTATTATCAAGACATATTTACCATTTTATAAAGTTTTATCAAAATCTGCCAGGGTTGAGGAAATATAATGTAATCTTTATTTGTGTAATTAGCATGCCAGCATCCATCTTCTTCAGCACACTGTAATGATTTTTGGAAATGTTTGTAAAGTACCACTCAAAGTTAATTCCTATTAAATTTAATTTAAATTTGCCCAACAGTTGAGATGTTGTATAACCCTTTACCTCATATATACGTGAATCAACGCACTTTCGACCCCCCCCCCTCTTTCAGGCCTAAAAAAGTGAAAAATTGTCCTATTTGGGCCCCAAATACATGTTTTCGTTTGAGAAATGTTGCTAAAAAAGTGAGCACTTTTTCGGCGCTGCCCCCCATTGAAAAGATACATCAGGGGGTTGCCAGAAGGGGGATGTGCCCCCTTCTGTTTGGGGGGTTTGATGGGGGGGGCGGTAGTCCCCCTCATCGCCAAGAAAATTTTGGACTTGTGAGAGGCTAAAAATGACCCCAGATCGATCATAAGGTAACATGTAACCAATGCTGAAAAGCCTTTGACTCTATCTCAATCCCTTGAGAAGTTGCAGCACTTTGAAATAAATTTTGATTGAAAAAATTGAGGCAAAATAGTGATTTTTTGCAATTTTGAGACGTCCCCTTGTTGCCCTGGTAACAGGAAATTTAAGACTGAGCATGTCGTTACAAAGGCAATGGTCCAGTCAACATTTGTGTCAAATTTGATTAGTATTGAAGCATTTTTCATAGTTTCATAGCAGTTTGAACTTGTAACAGGAGGCTTTTCAATGAAAACGGCCATTTTTCACAATATGCTCATGGGGTAAGGGTTAAAGATTATTATTCTGATTATCTGCCCCTGCTACCATGCTATCCTAGAATAGTAGTAAGGGTACCAGACTATACAGCTTATTTTTATTTTTACCTTTTATTTTTAAACAACTTAGTAGGGGCTTAAGGCTTATTTCTACTTTAAGAACTGGTGGCCATTTTGTTGGACAGACAAGAAAGATTTTACTAATTTTTGTAACAAACCAACTAATGATCTTGTAGCTCTCAAACTGGTGGTCTTGTTCAGGAAACCAGTACCATTTGAGTACTTTTATAGAATAACCATCCAAGGAATGTTTGTATATAGTTTAATCACTTTTGGCCAAGCAGTTCAGTGGATGTTAAGTGAACTATTTATGAATGCACTAGAAACACCTGACACAGGGTTATCACAAAAACTTGCCTTAAGTATTTTGTGCTCCGGTGAGCTAAAAACAAAACAACTTAAAAAATGTCTAAACAAATACATGTTACTTGTAAAATACTCTTTTATTAATTTACAACCTCTTCAAATTACACTTTATAACAACCCTTACAAAATTCCATGCTTCAACACTTACAAAACATTTCTTAATATATTTTAACAAGCCAGGCATGCGCAACCAGGAAAAACAAGATTGATGAGTAAAAGCAAGGTCTGTTTGATAGTCTCACAAATGCAAGCAATATACTTTATTACATGTACATGTAAATAAATGAGTCAAGTTTTATAACTGCATCCATTCTGTCCATGTCATACCAAAGTTAAGGATTCATTCTATCTATCACTTTTTTCATGACTCTTTAAAACAGAATGATTATACATTGTTATTTATGATATTTTCTATTCATTCTTTATATTTTATTATATCTCACATCATGTTCTAAACTAGAGATTTATATAAGAATCTTCATGCTAAATATGCATTACATTAATGCATACCAACCCTCTGAGACAAATAATAAGGTTTTCTAACAAACACACACATTGTCACTAAGAAAAACTATATCATTTTATTCTATAAATACATATATTTATCTTAATGTCTTGATTTAAAAAAAAATAATGTCATTTACTTTATACAAATACAAAAGCATACATTAAATGTCATCATTTACTGATTTTTATGATTAAAGGTATGTGTTCTAGGATTATTTTAAAGTGAAGTGAATGGTAAAAATCCGGGGCTAACTGTTACTAAAATGTGGAGAAAAATTTGTGGGGTGAATCCTTATTTAGTCCTTCATTCTGGGATCTCCGTTTTGTTTCATCAATTTTCCCACAAAAAGTAGGCCAAACTAGTTTTTTATGATCATTTATGTATTATTTTAGAACATTCGAACTTACAAACGAAATATTACAAATATCTTTATGAATTTACAACTCTATTTTTCTTAAACTTCAAATGTTATCTTCAAATGTATATCAAATCAAATTCACTTGTGATAACTTGACATTCACAATTATATTTGATTTAATTCTCACAATTCAATGGAAAAACTTGCTTTCATGAAAACACAAAAGGTGACCTGTTATTCACAGTTCTTTTTCCACTGTTTACTTGATCATATGATTCTAAAGATTGGCTGCTTGATGCTGATTGGTTGGCTGAGTCACGTGACACATCTAATGCACCATCTTCAGTAAGGAGGGGAGGACTGTCTAATGTTCCATACGTCTTGGTATGATTGAAGAATGCCAGTCTTTTTTCTATAAATAAAATCTAAGATTTATATCAATATATGAGAGGGATAAGAAAGTTGAAAAATTACAACAATTACAGATATAAATGACCATAATGCTTTGCATCAGCTTGGTGCTTGAAAATAGTTGATTTCTGCTATCTGGTTTCAAAAACATATCATAGATTTGTGTTAAAAGAAAAGTTTTGCTTAGCCCCCTCTTTATTGCTTGCTTAGCTAATTCCACATATTTGCAAAATACTCTTTGTTACCTTTTTTCTCAATTTTTAAATTTTTGCAAATCAAAATTAGCATTAACCTGTAGTTTTTTTTGTTGGATTATGGGTAACACTAACACTGTAATTATCATATGACCACATTCCAGCAGTGCTTGTGGAGGAAGACCTCAAGTGCACCTCTGTGCACCAAGGAGCCCCTGAGTAGAACAAGAGCGATCCGTGATCACATGTGTTGCCTCATGATGGCCAATTTCATGTTGGGACAAGTTTTGTGACAGACGGACAGACAGACGGACAGTGCACAACTAGACTTGGTACTCATCATTCCTGTAAAGTTTGGATAAAATTGCACCAGTAGTTTATGAGGAGTAGTCCGGACAAGCTTTTGTGTATCTGGCAACACACAGAAAAAAACACCTTTTAATCAAAGGGCCATAACTCGGCCAAAAATCATTCAACCGGAAAACCCGTGCAATATGCGCAAGGACTTGAGCTACAGATCACTCCTGTAAAGTTTCATTGAAATTGCATTAGTGGTATAAGAGAAGTAGTCCAGACAAACTTTAAAAATAAAAATTATTAAAGGGCCATAACTCTTACAAAAATCATTGAACTGGAAAATGCTGAAATTATATGTACAAGACTTGGTACTGATCACTCCTGTAAAGTTTGGATTAAATTGCACTAGTAGTTTATGAGGAGTAGTCCGGACAAGTTTTGTGACGGACGGACAGACGGACGGACAGACAGACGACGGAGAAGTGATCCCTATATGTCGCCACTACTCCGTAGAGGAGACACAAAAATTCACATTCTGCAAGCTAGGAAAGAATCCGAAATACCTGACAAGATTTGAAACTAACAATGATAGGGGGCAAGTGATTGGAAGTTGGAAATCAAAACAAAGAATATGAATTCACTATAAAATGCTTGTGGTGAGAGATATATACAGATATACTGTCAACAACATATTAATCCTAAATAAAATGCATGTGGTTTTGCAAATTAATTTGCCAGTAGGGGATCAGAAGGTTAAGGCACAATTCTCCCTAAGAATCTTATACAGGGTAATGGTAGAGACCAGAATATCTAGCTTGGGGGTAACTGATAACAAGGTTAACAAGGCTCTGCTGAGTTTCAACCGAACAGTTACCCTAGAGCTAGATATTCCTATCTGTGAAGATAGCCAGAGTCTGATTCCTTTTCTTGCATACTTCAAATTATATTTCGAAAAGAAATTATGAAACTAATATTTTCATTTAGCACTTTTTTTCCTATAGTAGCATATGAATTTACAGTACAATGACGTCATTCTAAGAACGCAATTATATCATAAAAGGCATATGGGGATGACATCATTTAAAGCATGTGACTTGTCTATGTAAGACAGTTTTTTCCAACACCAGTGTCTGATATGCCAGACAGCAAAATACAATCTTAAAACTCTTCTCTTTACTCTGTTATATTAGTTTAATTTTTATACATTTGGTGATATTCATTAACGTTTAAAGTCTTAAATTTAGATCTAAGCGGAAACTTACAAATGATAACTCCCGAAGACTCTGGAAAACTATATCTTGTATTAATAATTCATTTAACTGAAATAATTTGGCAGATAAAATCAGTTTAAACAGATAAATCTTTGCTTCGGATAAATTGTGTAGATAAATTCCAGTTCCTGGAATTTGATTCCCTTTTCTGATTCATCATGCTTTATTTTGCCCTCCAGAAAGCCAGATGGTTTTGAAAATTGAAAAAAAATACTGTTGGCAAAATGTCTCTAATGTACTCAGGAAGTATTGTAGGGGTAATATTGCTTACAGATATTTTTTTCTGACAGTAACAAAATCATTACGTTTTATCAGGTTCCTTGTTCTTTTGGTTCCATATACAGCAAGGCCCACATAAAAGAATACAGGTAGGAGCAGGAAACCAATAGCTATAGTCAAAACAGCTGTATACTCTCTGTTTACATCCGTACACTTCAGTTGCTCTCCCCATATCAGTCGTGTATAATTCATCTAGAAACATATATATATTGGAAGTTTATATATTTTTATTTCATGTTTTCCAGAGTTTTATTGTAATATATCAGATGATTATATTCTGATAAACCACTAGTGAAATTTATAAAATATAATTTTCACTGTAGCCGGACTATATCTGAATGCTGATGAAAAGAAAATCATAACTAAATGGAATAACAGGCAGAAATTAATGCCGTCGTGCGTAAATTTTGCTTCTTTAGGAAAAGAAACTCGATGTTATCATACATCATGTTAAAAACGTAACAAAATTAAAGAAATTTAACAGACCTATATTTCAAAATTGATTATGTGACGTCATGATGTGATGACGTCACAAAGGAGAATGCGTGACGTTACGCGACAAAACCAGTAAAAAAAAATTCTTAAAATCACTTAAAAAGCATGAAATAAAAAGAAAATTTATTTGTTTTACATATAAGATTGAAAAATATTTCATTCGTGAACACCAGCTATTATATTTTCACTCGTGGCTACGCCACTCGTGAAAATATTGCATCTGGTGTTCACTCAGTGAAATTATATTTCAATCTTACATGCAAAACAAACAAATATCCTCTATATAATTGTTCACATTGTAACAGTTACAGCATGGTCAATATGCTAAGGACATTGTTCAAGTTCAAAGGAAAACAAATTAGAAATACAGAAAAAAAAACAATATAAGAGCTGTGTCTGGCTATTTCCATCATTTGGGTCTGTCAGATATAGATTTCTGTCTTAGTTTGTTACAAAATTATAAACAATCATTTTTTCCAACTATAACAATATTAACAAGAATTTGTAACAGAGTTACCAACGTCCCCCGCCCCGGGAGTTTTATATGAAGCATAAAATTGTGCTATTTCAAAAGATTGAGGTATGGATCTCAGGACATTCAGTCCAAAATCATGATCAATGCTAGATCTGCAAATGTAACAATAAATTTGTTAAAAAAATAAAATGAAACACGGAATTTAAAAATCTATCATGTTAAGCTTTGACCTCTAAGTGTGAACTTGACCTTGGAGGTAGGGGAGCAGGTGTTGTGCATGACACATCCTCTTATTATAGTGACTATTTGTGCGAAGTATTTTCACAATCCTTTGATCTATGAAAAAATTATAGACCTGACACAAAATATACCCTGTAACAGACTATGTAAGTATTTGACCTCCAAGTGTGACATTGACCTTGGAGGTAGGTGACCAGTTTTTGCGCATGACACATCATCTGATTATTGTTAACAATTATGGCAAGTATTTACAAAAGTCCTTCATAGATAAGAAAGTTATGGACTGGACACGACATATACCCTCAAATAGACAATGTTGACCTTGAATGAACAAGTACGACCTTGACCCTGAAGGTACGGGTCTGGTTGTTGCGCATGACACATCGTCTTATTATAACAAACATTTGTGCCAAGTTATCTCAAATTCCTTTGATAAATGACAAAGTTATGGACCGGACACGAAATATACCCTGTAACAGACTATGTTAATATTTGACCTCCAAGTGTGACCTTGACGTTGAAGGTAGGCAACTGGTTTTTGCGCATGACACATCGTCTGATTATTATGAACAATTATGGCAAGTATTTACAAAAACCCTTCATAGATAAGAAAGTTATGGACCGGACACGAAATATACCCTGTAACAGACTATGTTAATATTTGACCTCCAAGTGTGACCTTGACCTTGAAGGTAGGTGACTGGTTTTTGCGCATGACACATCGTCTGATTATTGTGAACAATTATGGCAAGTATTTACAAAATCCCTTCATAGATAAGAAAGTTATGGACCGGACACGAAATATACCCTGTAACAGACTATGTTAATATTTGACCTCCAAGTGTGACCTTGACCTTGAAGGTAGGTGACTGGTTTTTGCGCATGACACATCGTCTGATTATTGTGAACAATTATGGCAAGTATTTACAAAATCCCTTCATAGATAAGAAAGTTATGGACCGGACACGACATATACCCTCAAATAGGCAATTTTGACCTTGAATGAGCAAGTGTGACCTTGACCCTGGAGGTAGGGGTCTGGTTGTTGCGCATGACACATCGTCTTATTATAATAAACATTTGTGCCAAATTATTTCAAATTCCTTTCATAAATGACAAAGTTATGGACCGGACACAAAAGTGTGACGGACGGACAGACGGACGGACAGACAGACAGACGGACAGACGGACGGAGCCTATTTCTATATCCCCCTTTTTTCTTCGAAAAGGCGGGGGACAATTACCTATATAACATTTAATTTATAGAGTCAAATAACAATATTGCTAGGCTGTTCCCCACTCACTCCGTTTCATTGACCGCATTTGTTTACCAGGCTGATATGATATTCAGTAAATTCAGCGATAATATTTAAACATAACATTATTGTCTCATCTTTAAATTAACTTACATTTATATCCTGTCATGATTGATTGTTTATATGTTCTTATATATGTCATTTTTATGATAATAAAAAAACATAATTAACCATGAAACTCATATTTTCATAATTAAATACCCAATCAATCTTAAAATCATAGGGTAACAGGTTTCAGAATACCCAATTAAATGGAGCCAATACCCAATTCCACATGAAATAATGGAGTAATACGCAATTCACTTTCAAAGCCTATTTGTTGAACTGAGGCTTAAATTAATATAAATGTTTACCATATCAACTATATCCATACAAACATGCTGTGGTGCCAGTGGATCATTCAACATCTTATCAAACTTTGTGTTCATCTCATTGTAATACGGTTCACAGTTTGTACATACTGAATGGTTGTATGTTGTTCTCTGAAATCATTTGAGACAATATTTAAAACTCAATTGTTGTAGAATATAAATCAAACCTTTGCCTTGGACCACACCCACACAAATTAACCTGTTATTTTAAAGAGAAAATTAGGTGTAAATTTTGCTTGTTCATTAATTCACACTGACAAGGTTAGGCTCACTAGGCTGGCTCTACATTTAAAGGCACATTATGCCTCAGAAATCCATATTTGTTTTAAATTCCATTAGTTTAAAATGTTTTAATAATGAAGTTAAAGCATGGAAGATGTTTAAATGACAAAAGAAAAATGCAATGACATTGCAGTAATGTATCATATAGGTAGCAAAATGTAAACAAAGTAGTGTTATGGCTTTGATACAAAATATTACTTCACTATATTTATACCAAAGGCCAACAAAGCAAAAGAAGTATAGGATAGTTCATCTACATGTACATGGCAAATGATTAATCATTTGGAAACTGTAACAAGATACAAAAAAAAGTGTTTTTGAAAATAAAAAATGATAGCATATCTGAGGCATAATGGGTCTTTAATTTATATGCCTATTGTTATTGTTGTTCCTATAGTTTAAGAATTCATACCATTCTTTGGTATGACAAGGCTTCGAAACAAAAACCTCCAGCAAACTAGAACTCCGCGAGTCGGATGTGTCGCCTTGTGAACAATGTAGTTTAGGGGAAATGGCCAGGACAAAAATGAAATATGAAAAATAACAAAGGGCAATAACTAAAAAAATAATACGTGCAGAACAGCAGTTTCTGTACACTGCACTTCTTATCAAATTCTATGATGTTTCAAGTCCATAGCTTTCATACTTGAGGAGAATGATCAGGACAAAAATAAAGTAAGAAAATCAACAAAGGGCAATAACTCAAAAATAAGAAATGCAGAGTATCAGTTCTTATGCACTGCACTTTTTTTTAATGAGATCTATCATCCTATGAAGTTTCAAGTCCATAACTTTTATACTTTCGGAGAAATGGCCTGGACAAAAATTAAGTATGAAAATTAACAAAGGGCCATAACTCAAAAATTATGAAATGAAGAGTACAGATTCTTGTGCACTGCACTTTTTAATAATCAGATCTATCATCCAATGAAGTTTCAAGTCCATAGCTTTTATACTTAAGGAGAAAAGGCCCGGACAAATTTAAAGTATGAAAATAAACAAAGGGCAATAACTCAAAAAATAAGAAATGCAGAGTACCAGTTCTTGTGCACTGCACTTCTTCTTAATGAGACCTATCATCCTATGAAGTTTCAAGTCCATGGCTTTTATACATTAGGAGAAATGGCCCGGACAAAAATAAAGTATGAAAATTAACAAAGGGCAATAACTCAAAAATTAGGAAGTGCAGAGTACTGGTTCTTGTGCACTGCATTTCATCTTAATGAGATCTATCATCCTATGAAGTTTCAAGTCCATAGCTTTTTTAGTTGAAGAGAAATGGCCCGGACAAAATTAAAGTATAAAAATTAACAAAGGGCAATAACTCCAAAAATAAGAACTGCAGAGTACCGGTCCTTAAGCACTGCACTTCGGGTTATTGAAAGAAGCATGCATACCAAGTTTGAAGTCAATCAGACTTATAGTGACTGAGTTATGCTCCGGACAAGCTTTAGGGGACGCCGACAACGACGCCGAAACAGACGCCGCCGCCGACACCGCCGACAAAAGTAACCCCTATATGTCACCTTTTCAAGGCGACACAAAAAGGCAGAATATTCTACCACTATGCTTCTGATTGAGTTGTTAAGTTTGCTAAATTGAAATATGTCAAAATAAATGAAATATTATGATAAATCAAACTCATAAAGTAAATTGACTAGTGTTTCTTACATTTGCTGGTATGCATTCTGTAAAGTTTTTATACACAGCAAGAAATTCTTTTGTTCTTTCTGTCAGTGTATAGTGAACTGTACCATTTTTATCTTCTGATATAGAGGAAAAACATTCTGAAATAAAAAAAACAAAAACTTTTAACTTTCAATACCATTATCAATATCTGTACACTAAGCAGCTGATTAATTAAACAACTGAACAGGAAATCAAATACTTTTCAATGGATTAAATTGCTGTTTTTTGTAGTTGTTTTTTTTTTTGCAGGGAAATATATGTTTATTTAAAGTGTGTGGAGGAGGGTGTCATGTAACAAATATCACCAATTTATTTACACAAACTACAGTATTTTATACTGTAGCTTCATACCAAAATCAAAGGTTGAACAAGTTCATTTTAAATGTCACAATGTATGCTTCAACATTAAATTTTAATTTATAATACGCTTTAAAGCAGTGTACTGACCATGACATAATAATTATATATTCTGTAAATATCAATGTATATGTTTTGAATATATATACGTTAAGTATCCGTTACTGACAAAATTAATGATGTGTGAAATCATGACATGTTATTTTGTCTTGACATGCATTTAAGATAATGTCTTTCCAAATGTTATTTGAGGGGTGCAGGGCATTTGGGTTACGCAAAAGGTTCAAGGGATCAGGGGTATGTCCCCAGATGGTGGGGGCTGACTGGAGTTCAGACTACCTTCACAGTCTGTGCTGTGTCATGTACAAACAGGCCAAAAATTTATGTATAACAATGATTTATCAGTACATTGTAAAATAGTTCTGAGAAATTATTCACTATTATATCTATCAATTCAGGAAATCATACTTTAAATACACCAAAATCAGACCGAAATAAAATGACAAGTGCTCCAGTTTGTGTCAATTTTAATTTGAAGATAAATTATTATTACTTGCATGTTATTTAATCAATGTTGAGTTAAAAAAACTTACGTTTACAATCAGCAGTTTGCCAAATCCTGTCAATATCTCTCTGAACACTACTGATCACCTGAACACGATCTGAATTTAACAATTCCTTCCGACAATTATCTAAGGATTCATCATTCTGCAATGAGAGCCATTGAGAGGTGAAAAGGATCAAAACGTTCTAATGTCAAATTATTGTTTTTCTTTAAAACGATTCAGGAAATTGTTAAAATTATTACTCTTGTTTCTTGTGATTGATATCAATAATTTGTATATGAATATCTACTAATATTATTTACAAATTGCAAATGGGCACTCACAATTTCCACGCTAATTACCAAAAAGAGGTCCAAAAATGGCCTTACTGCATTCTTCATGTTTGTGGTGATAAATAATGCAATTTAGTCAGTCATTAACCCCACGTAACATGTAAATTATTACTTCAAACTTGAATCATTTACTTTTATTAAAATCTTAGTACATTTTTTTCTTATTATAATAAGTTGATTTTCTTGAAATATATTGGCTCTGATCTGGAGGCTAAGCAACTTTATACAGGGGATATCAAAGGCTGGGTTTGAATAGCTTTGGCTTGTACACTGCTATACTGACTACATTATACTTAAAAAGAAATAAAATTTAAAAACAAAAAATATATGGATTTCAATACCTATCATTAAAATTTTCAGTGCTTAGTGACATTTCTATACTGAAACATTTAAGAGAAACTTTCTCCAAGTTTGAATGTAGATATGTTACATAGTACAGTTTTTCAATCCTTTTGAAACTGGATTTTTACGTTGAATAAACATATCGGGCTTTTATACTGGGATAAGCTGACTGATTTTGCAAAAAAAAAGAGTTTTATAAGCTACTACATGTATATAAGTGTGTACATCTAAGTGGTACCCTTGAACAACTGGCACATACTTTGCAAAAGTTTCTTTTTTGGTTCAGTATAGTTTTTGGTGCCGCCATTTTTAATGTAACTCAATGATAATCTGCGGGGGTATTCTGATAATACAACAATCCCAACTTTTCGATCGCAACTTTTTGAGAGGAGTCATGATTGAAAAACCAAAGCGGTGCATGAATGATGAAATACCAAATGACAACTTTAAAACAAAAAAAGTAAAATGAACAATTTCATTTGACTTCCCTGTACATAGGCTTTGCCTACTTTCATATAAGTTACAAATACTTGAAACCTTACATGGACAATATCACCATAAACTGTCTTAGATCTTTGATAATGTACAACACATCCTTCACAAAATCTAAAAGGTCTCGCATTATCAACTGAACATTTGATGAATCTTGAAGAGCGCAATCCAAATTCTGTTATAAACGCTTTACAATTGGGTTTAATACTTGAACGATTAGACTTATGTAATGTTGATAGGGCATCATCTTTAACTTGGTCTGCATTAGTCCTATTAATATGACGTCGCTTTGAGATATTTTTGCTTCTGGGCAAAGCAACGTCATATCGAAATTGCTCAAAAACCCATAGCATGTTCCGACAGAAAATCGGGCGGAACGAAAAACAATGAAGACAGCGTGTATTTACATAATTTTTGACCTATTTATGAACAAAACTAAAAAATAAATACCTTTTGTCAAAATAATTAAACTGTCACATCCGAAAAATCATGATTAAATCCTCTCATGTATTTAAATTCCTTTTACAGCCGATAAACAAATGGCGGCCGTAAAGTGCGCGAAATCTGATTGGCGTATTCAAATGCAAGCGTTTAACTGAGTCAGAACAATTTAACGGAATATTTTTTTAACGAAATAATTGCCCATGCACCGTCAGTGTGTTCGAATATATTTTTCCGTTCAAAAAATTTGGAATCAATCTGTAAAGCACCTTGCTTAACCAGTATGGCTGATAGACAAAAATAGATTGATGTTTATATTTTATTTTAAATTGATAAGTACATTCATTGAGAGTTTTTGTGTGTGATTGAGCATGAAATTGAAAGAAAAGAAGATAAGCTTTTGAATAAAGCTTGAAAGGCAAGATTATAGACAATTTTTCATTTTATTATGATGCTATGCGTTTTTGAGCAATAACTATTAGACGTCAGGCTTGACCGACAAAAACTATAACAAGCCTGTAACGTCTAATATATTGGACTAGGTCTGCATTAGTTTCCTGGTTCTGCATCTGTTTCCATTTCAAATATGTCATCGCCAAATCATCATCTGCGGAACATGACGTCATTAAATAAAAGTTGAATAAAAGTAAAGGAATTAAATTTCTACAGCACAAAGCCCACATGATTTCATTAACTGCAAACGTCAAAGTTTAATGTGTGATTTTTAGTAATTGAACTTCGCAACTTTCATTTTGACAGGAAGTGGAAAACTTACAGTAACACCGTTTAAAAAAATGACTGGAGGTAGAGCATTATCATGTGTTTTCTGTCGAATTCTTCGTGTGATAGAAATAAATCGCGAATCTCTTATGTGACAGGTTTAAGGTAAATGTTGTAGACATATGTTTGTTTCTTTTAGATTGCCACAATCGAAAAATTGAGGAATACAACCTGATATTTATTAGAAATCGGTATTATCAGTATGTTTTTCTCGGATAAATAATCCCAGTGATTTTTTTCATTTTTCCCCAGGTATTTTGATTAAGGCTGCAATGATACACCAACAGTTCGATTCGATTTCAGACACCCCGATTCCATTTTTTTCGATACGATTCATGTTAGTCCTATTAATATGACGTCGCTTTGAGATATTTTTGCTTCTGGGCAAAGCAACGTCATATCGAAATTGCTCAAAAACCCATAGCATGTTCCGACAGAAAATCGGGCGGAACGAAAAACAATGAAGACAGCGTGTATTTACATAATTTTTGACCTATTTATGAACAAAACTAAAAAATAAATACCTTTTGTCAAAATAATTAAACTGTCACATCCGAAAAATCATGATTAAATCCTCTCATGTATTTAAATTCCTTTTACAGCCGATAAACAAATGGCGGCCGTAAAGTGCGCGAAATCTGATTGGCGTATTCAAATGCAAGCGTTTAACTGAGTCAGAACAATTTAACGGAATATTTTTTTAACGAAATAATTGCCCATGCACCGTCAGTGTGTTCGAATATATTTTTCCGTTCAAAAATTTGGAATCAATCTGTAAAGCACCTTGCTTAACCAGTATGGCTGATAGACAAAAATAGATTGATGTTTATATTTTATTTTAAATTGATAAGTACATTCATTGAGAGTTTTTGTGTGTGATTGAGCATGAAATTGAAAGAAAAGAAGATAAGCTTTTGAATAAAGCTTGAAAGGCAAGATTATAGACAATTTTTCATTTTATTATGATGCTATGCGTTTTTGAGCAATAACTATTAGACGTCAGGCTTGACCGACAAAAACTATAACAAGCCTGTAACGTCTAATATATTGGACTAGGTCTGCATTAGTTTCCTGGTTCTGCATCTGTTTCCATTTCAAATATGTCATCGCCAAATCATCGTTTGCGGAACATCATTACATGACGTCATTAAATAAAAGTTGAATAAAAGTAAAGGAATTAAATTTCTAAAGCACAAAGCCCACATAATTTCATTAACTACAAACGTCAAAGTTTAATGTGTGATTTTTAGTAATTGAACTTCGCAACTTTCATTTTGACAGGAAGTGGAAAACTTACAGTAACACCGTTTAAAAAAATGACTGGAGGTAGAGCATTATCATGTGTTTTCTGTCGAATTCTTCATGTGATAGAAATAAATCGCCGAAACTCTTATGTGACAGGTTTAAGGTAAATGTTGTAGACATATGTTTGTTTCTTTTAGATTGCCACAATCGAAAAATTGAGGAATACAACCTGATATTTATTAGAAATCGGTATTATCAGTATGTTTTTCTCGGATAAATAATCCCAGTGATTTTTTTCATTTTTCCCCAGGTATTTTGATTAAGGCTGCAATGATACACCAAAAGTTCGATTCGATTTCAGACACCCCGATTCCATTTTTTTCGATATGATTCATGTTAGTCCTATTAATATGACGTCGCTTTGAGATATTTTTGCTTCTGGGCAAAGCAACGTCATATCGAAATTGCTCAAAAACCCATAGCATGTTCCGACAGAAAATCGGGCGGAACGAAAAACAATGAAGACAGCGTGTATTTACATAATTTTTGACCTATTTATGAACAAAACTAAAAAATAAATACCTTTTGTCAAAATAATTAAACTGTCACATCCGAAAAATCATGATTAAATCCTCTCATGTATTTAAATTCCTTTTACAGCCGATAAACAAATGGCGGCCGTAAAGTGCGCGAAATCTGATTGGCGTATTCAAATGCAAGCGTTTAACTGAGTCAGAACAATTTAACGAAATATTTTTTTAACGAAATAATTGCCCATGCACCGTCAGTGTGTTCGAATATATTTTTCCGTTCAAAAATTTGGAATCAATCTGTAAAGCACCTTGCTTAACCAGTATGGCTGATAGACAAAAATAGATTGATGTTTATATTTTATTTTAAATTGATAAGTACATTCATTGAGAGTTTTTGTGTGTGATTGAGCATGAAATTGAAAGAAAAGAAGATAAGCTTTTGAATAAAGCTTGAAAGGCAAGATTATAGACAATTTTTCATTTTATTATGATGCTATGCGTTTTTGAGCAATAACTATTAGACGTCAGGCTTGACCGACAAAAACTATAACAAGCCTGTAACGTCTAATATATTGGACTAGATTCATGTGTGATTTTTATTTCATATTTAGTTGACAATTCTGCTTATTTGCTGTAAAAGTTTGATGCCCTTGACAATTTTTGTGCCCCCACTATAGGGGGGGGGGGGCATTTAGATAAATTTACCCTTGACCATCCATCCGTCCGTCCGTTCCCTTTTTTGTGTCGCACATAGCTCAAAAAGTAATTGACCAAGAGTCATGAAACCTTACAGGATTGTTGATCAGCATGTGAAGTTGTGCACCTGGATATTTTCATCGTTGATATATTTAGTATTTTAAGAGTTATTGCCCTTGACTTAGTAAAAAATCGCAATTTTCAACTTGTGTCGCACGTAACTAAAAAAGTATTTGACCTAGAGTCATGAAACCTTACAAGAATGTTGCATAGCATGTGTAGTTGTGCACCTGGGTATTTTCATGTGGATATATTTAGTATTTTTAGAGTTATTGCCCTTGACTTAGTAAAAATTTCCAATTTTCAACATGTGTTGCACATAACTAAAAAGATTTGACCTAGAGTCATGAAACCTTACAAGAATATTGCTCAGCATGTGTAACTTGTGCATCTGGATATTTTCATGTGGATAAATTTAGTATTTTTAGAGTTATTGCCCTTGACTTAGTAAAAATTTCCAATTTTCAACTTGTGTTGCACGTAACTAAAGTATTTGACCTAGAGTCATGAAACCGTACAGGAATGTTGCTCAGCATGTGTAGTTGTAGGGTATTTTCGTATTGATATTTTTAGTATATTTAGAGTTATTGCCCTTGAATTAGTAAAAATTTACAATATTTAACTTGTGTTGCATGTAACTCAAAAGTTTATGACCTGAAAGCCTGAAAGTTTACAAGAATGTTGGTCAGCATGTGTACTTATGCACCTTGGGGTTTTCTTGTGGATTTATTCAGTATTTGTAGTATTTGCCCTTTACTTAATAAAAGAATTTTAGTTTTAAAACTTGGGCACATGTAACCCCAAAAAAAAAATTGACCTAGAGACATAAGATTGACATATCGGTGGAGTGTGGAGGCACCTGTGTCCTATAGACACATTTCTAGTTTTTTTATTATTTTTATTTTTTAGTTATCTCAACTTATTTTATCCCTAACTTACATTTATGATTTGTACAAGTGTTCATGAAACTTACTAAAAAGTGATTTATTTCAAATTATTTAGAAAACAATTCTAATCAAACAAGCACCTTGGCTTGTAACTGAAGCGTGGTTGCATGAAGTTAGTGGTATTTACCAGGCCTTGAAAGTTTGGGTCGGGTGAGGAAAATAATTGATTCAACTCACCTGACAGGGCAAGTGAGATTCTGCCGTTTAAAAAAATCAAACTACAGAGGCCATTTTGATCGCAATACTGTCAAATGAAAACTGAAATTTGACCTTATGAGTAGGTATAAAACTTTACTAAATGCATACGATATAAACGTATAATGAATCCATTCCGTAACAACAGCAGTATTCGACAATGTTTTATGGGCGTGTACATTAAATAAGTGTTCAGGTAATGTTGAAAATTATACAGATCTAGCAAAGGAATGAAAAGTGTTATAAACAATATTTAACAATATGTAAATGAATAAAGGCAATTATAATGATATACAATTATAACGATATAGACCGATAAATATTAAATTTGAGTTTTTTTTATTTTTACAAATTTTGTATGTCAGTCAAATTGCAGGACAAGTACATTGTATGAAGGGCGAGTAAATTTGAAGGGCTACTCGCCCATCAGGGCGAGTAACCCTAGAAAAAATTCATTGAGGCCTGTTTACCAACTTTGGACATGACACGCCGGCAAAGCATATCTTACATGTTGCTTTGTTTAATTCTTTACCCTCACAAAACCTGAAGTGTTTCCACACTTTGAATTTAAGTTTTGTTGGAGGATTTTTAGATTTATTTTGTTTACATTGACGTTTGAATCCATTATGATTTCCTGTGAGAAAATACAACATAATGCTCTCACTGATTGGATGTTTATTTTTGGTTGTGAATTGAAACGAAATTCTGATATTTGATATTGTAATTGAATCGGCACTGAATAGACTTGCCGTAGGTTTTCGATGCATCAGAACATAACGTTGCACCTCGAATTTTGATGGCCAATATTGGCTTATGTTCCAAATATAAAAAAAATATGTTTTTCCCATTTTCAAGGAGAAAATTCCCAATTCAAGGAAAAATCTACGGAAAGGGATTTTTTTCCTTATTTATTATTGCTGGTCGTAGATTATAGTTAATTACTAGGCTAGACTTTAGAAATTATGTGTCGGCTGCTATTTTTAGCATATTTGACACAGTATTATTTCTTCAATAATATCAGATTATGTTTCTCTCAAAATCTCTCAGATAACTTTGAGGGTTTAAAGTGTTATGGGTAAGGGTTAGTATCATCGTTAGATATGATATAAATGTGGAAGAATATGGATTATCATTATGGATTAAAGAACCTAGATAGAATTTGGATTATCATTATGGATTAAAGAACTTTTACTGTTGATTAATTGTATCAGATCAGGGCTCAGAAAACAATAGAGTTATTACCTCAGCTCAGGAAACGATGTTAAAAGAACGTTTTAGGGTCAGAAACTGTTGAACCTCAAAAAAAAGTTTGTTAAAAATAAACCTAAATCAAGATAGTTTTGATTGATATATTATAGCAGATGAGAATGGTGTATGTCACTTATGTGCTTAATATGAGCCGTGTCACGACAACACCAACATAATGGGTTTGCGACCAGCATGGATCCAGACCAGCATGCGCATGCGCGCAGTCTGATCAGGATCCATGCTGTTCGCTCAAAACCCTATTACAAGTAGAGAAACTGATAGCAAACAGCATGGATCCTGATCAGACTGCGCGGTCGCAAACCCATTATGTTGGTTTTGTCATGACGCGGCTCAATTATGATCATTGATGTTAATGAGACTGAATGATTGTCATTTTCATGTAAAAACTGGAGTAATGCTATGCTAAAGACTGTGCACTACTGGTTTGTGCTTGTGATTATTTGTGTTTATATAATAATATCATTTCATCTTATTATTTTTCATTTAACAATATTGGAAATTTTGAATATATATATATATAGTCAAATGACTGTCACGATAAGTGTGTGTACATGTATCTCAACTCAATTACAAAGAGTTAGATATTTAATTATTTTGAAACTAATTTTTTTACAATAGAAAGTAACATCTATGAACGAAAAATTCTTTTCCTTGTAATGTAGGGTACCTGCAGGGGCAGCATGTATAAACACTAAACGTACAATAACTTCATCACCATGGTTACAAGATAGTAACAAAGATGCAGACAAGGGATCAGAGTCGTCAAGTTCTTCAAGTTCAGATGATGAAAATTCCAGTAATAGCAGTAGTTCAGACTCGGATTCCGAGGTTAAAACGTAAGTTAAAGTATGTTTTGTATAATGCAAGGATCATGCTTGCACGAACCTTTTTATGGTTACAGAAATTTGTCTGTGGGAATAGTAGTTGCTGTTCTGTCATTCGGTCAATCTGTCCTTTCTTATCATCACACATACCATTTCTCACAGCTTCATTAATTATTATAAAATAACTACGTATATCAGATACATAATGGGAGCCACTATAGATATTTAAAAAAACAAAAACTGTATCAGATACGTAGACCAGAGCATAATCTTCTACTCTCATGAAGGGTCTTAATAATACTTGACACATAATTTATGTTCACCACCATTAGACGTTGTGTCGCCTACATGAATCTGTTCTGTGGGTCAAAGGTCAAGGTCACACTTAGAGATCTAAAGAAAACACTTGTCAAGAGTAATACTTCTACATGCAATGAGAGAATTCATTATGACTGGGTGCAAATGTTCACTACTGTGAGGTAGTGCCGTGCCACATGCAAAGTACAGGTCTTTGTGACTGTTGACACAATTTTCAATGGAGAATTTTAACTACATGTATTTGTAATATTTTCAGTGTTAAATCTTCACAGAAATCAGATGAAAAAGGGTTAGATATGTTTTCAATGCTGAGAGAAATGAAGGCTAGTGAAGAGAGATGGGGATCTCAACATAATGTGGAAACAAATCTTAAAAAGATTGAACACAGGTATAACCTTTTACTAAAAGAAATTGTTTTCCTTTATCTGCGGCTCACTTGACCTACATATTTGACCTACATATTATGTTTTCTGTAAGAAAGAAAATGTCTGTTTTGATTATGTAACTAAGGTCAAGTTTTACTATAGGTCAACCAGGGTAAAAACTAAGGCTTCTCTGGTAAACACACTTTTGATTGGATCATCATTATCTTAATTTTCAGATTAATGTAAATGAGACAGGTGTTCAATTACAGATCACTCCGGGTAAAAAAAAACTAGATAACTGGTGCAGTTCATAAGGAAAAACTTGTTAATTAACTGGATATTAAATCTAAAAAAATATTGAAATCTGCTCAGAATTCATGATGTATGTAATGATTTTAAGACCAAGATTATCAAAAACTAGGCCATCAAGTGAAATTTTGAGAAAAGGTTTTTTCTGATCAAGTACTTTCTCTGAAAATCTATTACCTTTAAATTTGCATTTTATAAATTTCATATAAACAGAAATAATAAGCTACATTTCGTTTATATCGACTGCCATTCTTATTTTGGTTTCCAGACTTTGGTTCCCATCAACTCCTGTTCTTATTTTGGTGTCCAAACTACTGAGTTTTATATAAGCTACAACCTCCTAGCAAAATCTAAAGTTCAATTGAATTCTGTTTTGCATAAAAACTCCACATTTGTGAACATAAATAAACAACAATAGCTGGGAATATTTTTGTCCTAATTAAAGGGTATATTTCTGCATTTAACACCATTATTACTTCTTTTATTCATTGAATACTATTGTGAATGGTAGGCCAAGTTCACCATGAAGGTATAATGGTAAAAGTTTGTTTGTAATAATTTGTCGATAAGATGGAAAAATGTTACTGAAAACCATTAAATTGCTTATTAAAAGTGCAACAATGTAAGGTTTCAATTACCAGTGCATATGCATGAATTTATCATAATATTCATTTGCATGTTAAAATTTGTATACAAACTTCAGTGTTATGGTGGGGTTTTCAGATTTCAGTGTTATGGTGGGGTTTTCCTTTTAAAATCATAATTTCAGATTTTCAACACTACCCTAGCTATTATATAAAAAGTTGAACAGAACTATAAGAATGCTTAGTTTTTAAGACCATGACAAAGTATTTTTACATATTCATAAAATTGAGCTTTAAAGTTTTTTTTATCACCACAATATTGACATTGTCTACAAGATACTTTTGTTTTCAATTTCTGTTTTTGAATTATAGTATTTGTTACTTTAAATGAAACTGCAAGGGAGGTAACTTAGAATGAAGCAAAACAAATTTGTAGTTTACAATGTATTTTATATATTACAACATATTTCAATTATGAGATCTTGCTCATGCAAATCATATCCTCAGGTTAGCTGTTAAAAGCTGTCACGAACCTCTTATATATAGAGATTATTGAATGAGAGTAGTTTTAATACTAAATTTATTGAACGAGATGAATAAAATCATATTGTGTGAGTCTCTGGCAAGCATATTAATATTGTTTTATTCAACAAGTTAAAATAAATTTAGAATTGAGTTTGCATGAATATAACATTCTATTATCACATATTCAAAAAAAAAATGGCTGAAAGTCCAAAAGAGCCAATTTTCATTGACACACCTATAGTAATGTAATGCTTTAACACTATGTTTGTATGTAACACAAATGATGTCATGTCAGTGTTTCTACGACTAGTGTAATATCAGTGTTTTTAAATGGCTTTATTACAATCCTGTGTTGTAGTTTATGTGATAAATGTACATATGCACTGTATGATGATAATTCATCAACTAATTTAGTATTAATATTACAGTATTGATAAAGAACTGGTAACAGAAGCTATAGAACTATCCAAGAAGTTACCAGGGGAACCAGGAGAGTCAGAACATGATCTGATTTCTCAACTGTTGGGCCAATTTGAGACAACGGCCAATCAGAAACAAGGGGCTGCACCAGCAACAAAACCACCTATAGTAGAGGATATTCAAGAATCACCCGAAATACAGAAAGCTATAAAAATGCGTAAAGCAGAGGAAAAGAAAATGCCACAAGAACCAGATATAAGGTATATTTAAATATTTAATAGGATAAAAATTTACTATATTATATAATGGTCAGTGTAGAAAATTATCAACTCCAAATTTTCATTTTTGAAGGAGCATAATAATGTACATGGAACAAAAAAAATTGTGAATTTATTGAATGTGCAGATGGTCCGAAATCGATTGCGTGTAAATTGATTAATAAACTTTAGTTAAACCTATAGACCTTTCCAGTGTTATAACAATTTCATGCAAATTGGATGACTTGCTATCCAGTGCCTACACTTGCATATATACATATTCACTGGTTGATGTGGTTTATACAAAAGAATGCAATGTTTTGTTTGTGATACTGTTTTAGACCAATTGACCTAGAATTGAGTAGAATATGCAGGACTAAATTTCCTGCTGCTAAAATCAGGAAACGTCCAGAATGGCCTTGACATATGAGCAGTCATAATAAGATTCATTCTGGTTTGTTCCATGCCCTGATTTAAAATATGATTACAAATTGTCTTCTTCACTGCATTGATATATTTGTTTTGGTGACATTTTCTTTTCAGTACTATTTTGGGGAGTTTAAATATCAGTCCAAGCTTAGGTAAAGGTAAGTATAATGTTTCAAGTTACTTATACTCAGTCTCTGTTTATAATATACTACCTATGTTAACCCTGACAAGGTTTACTTTTTACAGTCAATATGGTGGCCAAGAGGTCTGCAATTTGTCATTGTCGTAAGACAGTTCATGATAGCCTGCACTAACGTTGTAATCAATTTTTATACATGTAGTATGCAAGCTGCATTTAATAAATGCATAAAAGACATTTTGCAAAATACTAAGCATTTTTATAATTTGTTAAACTTTTGTTAAGTGTTGTAATCGATCTGATCAAATATTGTTCAGAAATTGAGATGGTAAAAGCTATATCTCTCAGAGAGTCTGTAACACTTATTTTGTATACAAATCTTAACATATTGATGATTGTACATGAGCACAGGCAGATCAAAATGTCACATTGTTAGGCTTTCAAAAAGCAGTAAATGTTATACGTAACACAAATAAAACTTATTTTAAAACAGAATCCAGCTATTTCTGTTGTTATGAAATTTATAAAATGCAGCTAGCAATTTGATAACAGAAACATTTTAAGTGAAAAAAATTTGGGGTTACCATTCTCATTTTCGAGTTATCTGCCCTAAAATTTGACTTTTTTGCTAGATAATGAAACTGGAAATGTTTCTACTTTGTTAAATTATTTGATAATTAATTGTATTATCATACATTGTTTTGTTTTAAGTTGGGTATATTTAAATTAGCAAGCTATTATAAATATTGAGATCAAACTTGGTACCTTATAAGTGTTTTTTTCTGCGGGCTCCAAATTCTGCAGTTTTTCCAAATTTTGGCATGTTTTTATTTCTGCGGACTTTATCTCTGTGGCACATTCTCTGGACAAAACGTGATTTAAAGTCTGCAACTTGTCTTTAGTATCAAAGTCAAAGTCACATTACTCTACCTATTATATTTGCATGTACATATTCGCATTTGTTTATCGTCGTCACTGCAAAACTGTATAGTAATTATAAACAATTATACTGCTTGCTTGCAAACAAATGTAATGCCCAACAATAAAAAGGTATGCATCTTTTGATCAGGTGAAATGACGTGTGAAAATTACACCCCGGTAGTATCTTTAATTTAATAAAATTGATAGAAGTTTACCGTAAATCAGATGACAATTAAAGTTTACAACGATTATATATCAATATACGGGTTGAAATGGTTTGAAATATCTTTATTCTTAAATTAGCATAATTAACAATAAGTAAATCCTTACAAACACAGATATCATACTTAACCAACGGTTATAATCTGTTAGTTGTTATTACTTTAGACAGTTTAATGACTGATTTTGCAGTATTAATCAAGCTATTTCTACCTTGTGACTAAGGCAGTAAGGGTTATTTTTGCATATTCTGACTTTCTTTTTTTTGGTAATTTTCCTATATTTTGCAAATTATTTTCTTTGTTTACTTGACAATGTTTTACTTTTTACGTTTGAAAAATTTTCATAAAAATTATCATGAATCTAGAGGCGTGCTACTTTAAGAATAGTTAAGTAAACTGTCCATCTTGCAGCTGTCTTGAAAAGAATTTTATTGTGTTTTATTTTTTTAAATAATCTTTTCAGATGAGGAAAAAGACGTTAAGAGACTGAGATTCAGGTAAGCTGCTTGTTTTCCTATCCCATAAATAATTTAACTTTGAAAATATTGATGTAATACATGCTCATAAATTAGTTTTATTGGAGAAAAAGGACATTTTCTTGAATATTGATGAAGGTTTTCATAGAAAAGGTCACATGAACGCTTAGTTATACAATTCAGTAAATTTGACCAATTCTTATGGTTTTGTAATATTTAAGCCCCTTTTACTTTGGAAAATGTCATGAAAATTATAGTAATGTCTTATTTGAGAGCATGATAGGAGGTCACTGTCCAAAGCCCATAACTCTAATGTTGATTTTGACAGAATCACAGCTCTTTTTGAACTTAAATTTTTTTACAGTATCCAGGCTCTTGTTTTACTATCAAGCACTGAGAATAGTCGAGCAAGCTGCCATACCAGAGCTTTTCTTTCACTGTATTGTCATTTTAATGGAAATGTACTCAGATCATTCTTTTAATTTAGACGCTTTGGGGAGATTTTTATGATTCTCTACCGAATGTAGACTAATACACTGAATGAGTGGCCATTGGCATGCATGTGAAAGAGTTAATCTAGTTTTTGTTTTCACTTCTATTATGTTATATATTGTATCATTACAGGCAGCCATCTAAATTATTTCAAGGAAAACCATTGGGTATCTTTAAACCCAAGGATATGAAATCAGCAAAACCTGGTAAATACTTATTCATTTTGTGGTTCATACTGTGAATCAATAAGCAGAGTGTTTTTGAGAATTTTACTTACACTTCAGGTGCCTGTTTGTGTCTGAAATAATGCATAGAGGGGCATTTTAGGTCTTCCTGCACCAGTAAAACTAGTATGTAGCCATATGACCTATACTGTGTTGGTGTGATGTAAATCCCAATCAAACAAAATTATATTTTAGACTTTACATTCTGCCATTTGTCTCAAGATAATGTTTAAGTGTAAAATGTATGATACATACATGATCAAACCAGTGGTTCATTTAAACCCTTAGAACATGCTGATGTGATGGGCAATGCAACATATTGTGATAATAATTTTGTAGCTCATTTTATGGTTGTGGCCTCCATACCTCCTTTAAGTTGCTTCTGTCAAGTGACATTTAGCCCTACTTGATTTTCGTCTGTCCCAGATTTGTGTTTTTAGCACAAAATAACATATGAATTCACAAAGATGGTATAAATACTGATACACACCATGTAGCACCAAGAAAGAGCTTTGATTTATTTATTTGATAAACTTGATTAGTACATGTATTTTCATTTTTAGCTCACCTGTCACAAAGTGACAGGGTGAGCTTTTGTGATCGCTTTTCATCCGGCGTCCGTCCGGCGTCCGTCCGTAAACTTTTACTTTAAATGACATCTCCTCATAAACCACTAAGCCAATTTCATCCAAACTTCACAGGAATGTTCCTTTGGTGGTCACCTTAAAAAATTGTTCAAAGAATTTAATTCCATGCAGAACTCTGGTTGCCATGGCAACCGAAAGAAAAAACTTTAAATATCTTCTTTTAAAAAACCCTAAGAGCTAGAGCTTAGATATTTGGCATGAAACATCTTCTAGTGAGTGTCTACCAAGTTTGTTCAAATAAAATCTCTGGGGTCAAAATTGGCCCCGCCCCAGGGGGTCATTGATTTTCCTTATATGCATATAGTAAAAACTTAAAAAATCTTGTTTTAAAGAACCCAAAGAGCTAGAGCAAAGATATTCAGCATGAAACATCTTCTAATGAGTGTCTACCAAGTTTGTTCAAATAAAAGCCCTGGGGTCAAAATTGGCCCCGCCCCAGGGGGTCATTGATTTTCCCTATATGCATATAGTAAAAACTTAAAAAATCTTCTTTTAAAGAACTCAAAGAGCTAGAGCTAAGATATTCAGCATGAAACATCTTCTAATGGGTGTCTACCAAGTTTGTTCTAATAAAAGCCCTGGGGTCAAAATTGGCCCCGCCCCGGGGGGTCATTGATTTTCCTTATATGTGTATAGCAAAAACTTAAATAATCATCTTTGAAAAAACCCAAATAGCTAGAGTTTAGATATTAAGCATGAAATATCTTCTAGTAAGTGTCTACAAAGTTTGTTCAAATAATAGCCCTGGGGTCAAAATTGGCCCAGCCCGGGGGGGTTATTGATTTTCAATATATGCATATAGTAAAAACTTAAAAAATCTTCTTTGAAAAACCCAAATAGCTAGAGTTTAGATATTAAGCATGAAACATCTTCTAGTAAGTGTCTACAAAGTTTGTTCAAATAAAAGCCCTGGGGTCAAAACTGGCGTCGCCCCAGGGGTGTCATTGTTTTTAACTATATGTGTGTAGTAAAAACTTAAAAATCTTCTTTTAAAAAACCCAATGAGCTAGAGCTTAGATGTTTAGCATGAAATATCTTCTTATGGATGTCTACCAAGTTTGATCAAATAAAAGCCCTTGGGTGAAAATTGGCCCTGCCGGGGGGGGGGGGGGGGGTTTAAAATCATTGTTTTTCATTACATGTGTGTAGTAAAAACTTAACATTGTGAAACATCTTCTAATGAGTGTCTTCCAAGTTTGTTCAAATAAAAGCCCTGGGGTTTTTAAACTGGCCCCGCTCCGGGGGCCTATATACAGGTGAGCGACCTCAGGGCCATCATGGCCCTCTTGTTTATGATTTAATGCCCAACAATATAAAAACACATTCCACATTCATAATAATGTAAGTTTAAAAGGACTCAGATATTATAATAACTCCAAATATAATTGATATACAGTCGACATTGTATTAAGAGACCACTCAAGGGACTGCCAAAAAGTGGTCTCTTAATAAAGTGGTCTCTCAATAGAATTCTGGAAAATTCGAGACTTTATTATACGACAAGTCATAGATATAATAACATATTTTTATAAAAACAAAAACTGTACAATATTATATAATCATTATGTATTACAGTTTCATAATTACATTTATGCCTTTTGTTTAAAAAAGTCATCAATATGTGTTTGTTTTTTTTAGTAGAAATTTGTGTACAAATGTGATCTACGCTCATAATACTATTAACAGGTCATTTTGACCTTGAAACAAAGCATATTGTCATATATTATTAATATGTTCATACACATCTATACACATCTTCTGCTGAACATACTTTCAAATCATCAGCCAGACCTCTATAGATATTTTTCATGCAATGAGTTTTAAAGTTCATGATTTTTTCAGCAATTAGTTTTCACACTACCCCGATTTCAAAACATTAAAGTTTGAGAGATCTTAGATTATCATTATATATATTTTTATTTTAATTTATTTTTTTTTTTTTGTCGAAGGGTCATATTTAATGGGGTACTACATGTATTTTATAAAGCATCAGATGAGCATCTAGATCTACACCATCAGCAATGAAAGGCTGTAATGTTTAGTCCACTACGTTTCACGATTTTATTTTTACTACAAACGATGGCATTTGCTATTTACTCAGACTCAATTCCATGCATGATTTCCTCATTCAATTTATCCGGTATTGTTAGTTTTCTGTCATTTTTTCGCTCGTTCCGACGTCATTTTCGATGATTTTCTGGAAGGGAGGTCACTCTGAGCACATGACAAAACTGTGCCAATGCGGTGTTGTGATACGTTATTGCTCTGACAAAATATGTCACAATAAATATTACTATCGGAAATTAAACTGTTTCTTTCTTTCCGATTTTAAAACGATTGCAATTGTTATTAATTTCGTTTATAAACGGCAATTATTTGTGACGGTCTAATTGACGGCCGTTTAATAGATACTTTAAGACCGATGACCATGAAAAATATTTGTTTGTTTAAACCTACTCGCTAATTACACAGGTGAGAATGTCCGTAGGAACGATTGTTTGTCACGGCCGTTTAATAGATACTTTAACACTGAATTTTGTACATTTGGGCGGACATTTAGTGGCCGCTGGCCGCGATATAAAATCGTCGTTTAATGGAATTAACTTATATAGTAAAAATCATCGGGAGGGATTTTATGCGGCCGCTTAATAAAAAAGTCGCTCAATAAAGGTGGAGGCAAGTACGATGCCGACTGTATAAGAAATATTTAACATTTTAACAAGTGATAAGACGTACCTCTCATTAGGCCTAGCAGGCATGAACCCTTACCAGAACTATTATGTTAAATGGACTTGTCCATCTTTCAATCTGGATAAAACCATTTATTATTTTTTTGGAAAATTTCAAAGTTAAACATGTACTGACTGAATAGCAAACAGTGTAAACACTGATCTGACAACTGAATGTGCTAGCTGGTCTTGGTCTGCACTGGTGTATGGGTAGATTCTGTTGCCACTAGCAGGCGAAGAGTTTAAGTATTTTTGATAAATTAAAGCAAAAATTAATAGCAAGGTATGTTCGAATATTTGGTAATTATTTTTCAGAGAAAAGAAGTTTGTTTGATGAAGTAGAGGAAGAGGAAAGAAATGAAATGAATTTTTATCCTCCGTCTAATGCCTTCGAAGAGCAAATACAATGGACAAGGGAAGGGAAACTCTGGACATTTCCTATAGATAATGAAGCTGGTAATGTTTTTACTTTGTTTAATTGTTTGATAATGAATTGTATTATCAGACATTGTTGTAATTAATTTAAGGTGGGTATTATTAAATTAGTAACCTTCAGCAGCAAGTTTATATGAAAACCCTGGTTGGGATTGCTTTTAGAACATCTAGGTTCAAGGTCAAGGTCACTGTAATTACAAAGAGAAAAAGGGTTTTTGGATGATAAAAGTTAGCAAAGTGATATTGCCATCAAACCTTCAAATCTGGTATTTAGTACTGCCATTTGGACACTTTGCTTGGGATTTCTTTTGCACCATCCATTAAAAAACATGATTATCACTATTTTAGTTATCTTACTTAGTTATCATTCTGGTTGTTATCTTTTTAGCTCACCTGTCACAAAGTGACAGGGTGAGCTTTTGTGATCACTTTTCGTCCGGCGTCCGTCCGTCCGTAAACTTTTACTTTAAATGACATCTCCTCATAAACCACTAAGCCAATTTCATCCAAACTTCACAGGAATGTTCCTTTGGTGGTCACCTTTAAAAATTGTTCAAAGAATTTAATTCCATGCAGAACTCTGGTTGCCATGGCAACCGAAAGAAAATATCTTCTTTTAAAAAACCATAAGAGCTTAGATATTTGGCATGAAACATCTTCTAGTGAGTGTCTACCAAGTTTGTTCAAATAAAAGCCCTGGGGTCAAAATTGGCCCCGCCCCGGGGGGTCATTGATTTTCCCTATATGCATATAGTAAAAACTTAAAAAATCTTCTTTTAAAGAACCCAAAGAGCTAGAGCTAAGATATTTAGCATGAAATATGTTCTAATGAGTGTCTACAAAGTTTGTTCAAATAAAAGCCCCAGGGTCAAAATTGGCCCCGCCCCGGGGGGTCATTGATTTTCCCTATATGCATATAGTAAAAACTTAAAAAATCTTCTTTTAAAGAACTCAAAGAGCTATGGCTAAGATATTGAGCATCAAACATGTTCTAATAGGTGTCTACCAAGTTTGTTCAAATAAAAGCCCTGGGATCAAAATTGGCCCCGCCCCAGGGGGTCATTGATTTTCCCTATATGCATATAGTAAAAACTTTAAAAATCTTCTTTGAAAAAATCCAAATAACTAGAGTTAAGATATTAAGCATGAAACATATTTTAGTGAGTGTCTACAAATTTTGTTCAAATAAAAGATCTGGGGTCAAAATTGGCCCCGCCCCGGGGGTCATTGATTTTCTTTATATGTGTATAGCAAAAACTTAAAATCTTCTTTGAAAAAACCCAAATAGCTAGAGTTTAGATATTAAGCATGAAACATCTTCTAGTAAGTGTCTACAAAGTTTGTTCAAATAAAAGCCCTGGCCCCGCCCCAGGGGTGTCATTGTTTTTAACTATATGTGTATAGTAAAAACTTTAAAAAAAATCTTCTTTTAAAAAGCCCAATGAGCTAGAGCTTAGATGTTTAGCATGAAACATCTTCTTATGGGTGTCTACCAAGTTAATGCAAATAAAAGCCCTTGGATTAAATTGGCCCTGCAACTTTGGGGGGGGGGGTGGGGGTTGGGGGGGCCTATATACAGGTGAGCGACCTCAGGGCCATCATGGCCCTCTTGTTCTTGTTTATTATATAGTTAGATATAGATAATTTAATTTAGTTAGCTATCATTTACATTGCTATCACTAAGCTGTCATTTTCACAGTTTAGTTAGTTATCATTTATTAAGATACTATTTAAATAATTTAAATTTAACTTAGTTGCCTTGTTTATACATGTATATAGTAAATACATGTACATGTAGTATACTTGTACAATGCAGTAAGATAGTCATGAAAATTATGTATAATAAAGATCGTTTTATAATAAAACCATCCATGTTAAAGATCCTGTATAAGTGAAATTTTATATATGTATATAATTATGCTTATAAAACAATTTTCAAACATCGAAGAATATGTAAAATATGTACTGCAAATATTTGTACATATATGTAATTGTTAAAGTATATGCATTCATTTCTTATTGAAAATTTTGACCTACACTTTCTAGAAAATGAATTTTTTATTACCTCCCTTTATTTACATGAAATGTTAAATTCGGTAATATCTTTATAAATAATGCTTCTTGGAACTTCCAATATTGACAAATCTTAATTTGAGCATCATATTTATAATATAAAACCATAGAAAAATTGTATTACAGGATATTTAAGAATAATGTCAGCCTCTTTGCTGATAAAGATATCATGGTTGTTGATGTACAAATAAATGTTTATTGAAATACATGATTGTATTTACCTTGTCTTGTAGGTTGGGAGGAGGAAATGAATGTAGAATTTTATGAACATGTATTCCTAGATGATCAGTTGCTTGATTTTCCTAAGAAAGGACCAATACGTCACTTTATGGAGCTAGTAACCATCGCCCTTTCAAAGAACCCCTACTTGACCGTGACACAGAAACGTGAACATATAGATTGGTATAGGGAATATTTCAAGAGTAAATATGACATTTTAGAACCTCGACTTGGCAAGGATGGTGTCATACAATCACAGGCATGATGTTTGAATAGCTGAAGTTTGTGTGAAGTGTTAATAAAATGTTTCAATTATAGATTGATGTTTTTTTGACTTTTGAAATCTATTTTGAATTGTAGTGAATTCAGTTGTGACCATGTAACTAGTGCCTCATGTTCAAAGTAGATTGGTAATGCCAAAAAGCAAAATTAATAGCAGAAATAGCAAAAAAAAATCATTATTTTCTTTCAAATAAACATTTCTTTTTAATGAAATTTTAGTAAATGATGTAAAATTATTTTTTGAAATTTATGGTTAGCTCTGATACGAGTATATAATTGATTATAAAGAAAAAATGATGGATAATACAATATAACCTGAATCCACAAAACTTCAGAAAAATTCTGGCCCGCTTCTATAAATAGAAACATGCAATTCTATAAATAGAAACACGCATTCTATAAACAGAAACAAGCAATTCTATAAATAGAAACATGCAATTCTATAAATAGAAAATTCTATAAATAGAAACATGCAATTCTATAAATAGAAACACGCAATTCTATAAATAGAAACATGCAATTCTATCAATAGAAAATTCTATACATTTTGTAAATAGAAACACGCAATTCTATAAATTGAAAATTCTATAAATAGAAACACGCAATTCTATAAATAGCAACACGCAATTCTATAAATAGAAAATTCTATAAATAGAAACACGCAATTCTATAAATAGAAAATTCTATAAATATATACACGCAATACATTCTATAAATAGATACACGCAATACGTTCATAGACTTCTATATTTTTTGCCAAAAAATAGGGATAATATTGAACATACAGGAAAATATAAGAAATTATTTTAAAAAATTATGATAAATTAAGTAACATGTTCATGTTAAACTATAAACTTTCAAATTAAATGTTACATTAGACATGACACAATGTATTCTAAATAATCAAAAGCAACAGAACATCGCTATACACCGCAAATAATCTGGGTTTTTTATCAAGTGCAAGTGATTATTCCATAAAATGGACATATATTGCCAAAATTATCCCTGTTGAAAAGACTGCCAAAAAATACAACTGCGGCATATCATATTTTATTTTCAACTGTGTCGTATCATTTCGTAAATATTTTATTTTCTTGGAAAATAAACATCTCTTTTTAATGTGTTCACATTTTGTTGGATATGACGCAGTTTTGATTCCCAGCACTGAGATGGCTCATCAAAACTTGCTTGTAAAGCCGAGATTTGGAAAATATTTGTCAACATTTACTTTTAAAGTTCAATTCATGCACTTCAAATTTTGTGGGAAAAACACCATTCTTAATCAGCATTATCACTGCATAAAATTTAACATTGCCTTTTTAAAATCACTTGGGAGGCTGGGAATATCACATCGATTGCTTCTAATGATATTGTTACCAGAAAAAAATGCATGTACAATGTGCACATGATTGGAGAGCTTCCTCATCTTATCACATTGTTTAATTTGTAATTTTGCTATTGATATACATGCACTTTTCCACTGCTACATTGAAACATGTATAGGTTGTCACCTCGATATGTAAATTCCACGTCCTGATTAATTAACGGTATCAATTACATTAGCATTTTGACATAAAAAATATTTTAATTTTCTTGTTTTATGGTCGCATGTGGCTAATGTTATACATGTAGGGGCGTATGTAGCCTTTAAAATCGACATGTGTCTGCATAAAGTCATTGGTTTCTATTTATAGAATTGCGTTTTTCTATTTATAGAATTGCGTTTTTATGCCCTCACAATGTGGGAGCATATAGCGTTGCACTTGTCCGACCGTCCGTCAGAACGTCCGTCCGTCAGTCCGTATGTCCCGAAATCTTGTGAACGCAACTCCTCTTAAACCGGATGGCAGATTTTGCTTAAACTTACAGGGATGAACAACCTTAATGTGTAGATGGTAGTAAAGGAAGGAATTTTTGCTGCGACCAAATTTAACAGAATTATGGCCCTTTGTTGATTTTTTCACTAGATACTATGTAGAAATTTTGTGAACGCAACTCCTCTTAAACCGGATGGCAGATTTTGCTTAAAGTTACAGGGATGAACAACCTTAATGTGTAGATGGTAGTAAAGGAAGGAATTTTTGCTGCGACCAAATTTAACAGAATTATGGCCCTTTGTTGATTTTTTCACTATATACTATGTAGAAATTTTGTGAATGCAACTCCTCTTAAACCGGATGGCAGATTTTGCTTAAACTTACAGGGATGAACAACCTTAAGGTGTAGATGGTAGTAAAGGAAGGAATTTTCGCTGGGACCAAATTTTACAGAATTATGGCCCTTTGTTGATTTTTTCACTATATACTATGTAGAAATTTTGTGAATGCAACTCCTCTCAAACCGGATTGCAGATTTTGCTTAAACTTCCAGGGATGAACAACCTTAATGTGTAGATGGCAGTAAAGGAAGGAATTTTTGCTGCAACCAAATTTAACAGAATTATGGCCCTTTGTTGATTTTTTCATTATATACTATGTAGAAATTTTGTGAACACAACTTCTCTTAAACCGGATGGCAGATTTTGCTTAAACTTCCAGGGATTAACAACCTTAATGTGTAGATGGTAGTAAAGGAAGGAATTTTTGCTGTGACCAAATTTAACAGAATTATGGCCCTTTGTTGATTTTTAGTTTTCAACTTGTGGCACATGTAGTCCAAAAAATATTTGACCTAGAGTCATAAGATTGACAGAACAGTGGCGTGTGGGGGCATCCGTGTCCTATGGACACATTTCTAGTTTTATTTGCGGTGGCTCTGGTTTTTTGGTTATTGTTACGCATTTTGAACCAAAAGTATCTTCTCTACGCATCCTGTTAAAACTAATTTGTCTGGTCAATTCTTTATAATACCTTTATATTCCGCCACGATTCTACTAGATTTATCATAAATCTTAAGATGTTGGGAAATGACATCACGCACATCTGTTTTTATACGACAAATACACAAACATGGCCGCGCCTACTGATTTGTAGAAATCTGTTATTTTGCGATTTAAATTTTGTTATCATTCGTTTAATATTATTTGAAGGCAGAAAATTTGCAGATTTACTTTTTCTTGTATTCTATTTCTGATATCAAGTTTCTATTCTAACATTGTCTTTCCCTTTAAATGTATATAGTAAAAACTTTAAAAATCGTCTTGTGAAAATCCAAAAGAGGTAGAGCTTAGATATTTGGCATGAAACATGTTCTAGCCGATGTCTACCATGTTTGATGAAATAAAACCCCTAGGGTCAAAATTGGCCCCACCAAGGAGATCATTGATTTTCCTTATATGTTCTGTAAATCCTGTATTTTTATACCCCCAAAAACGTGGTTTGGGGGGGTATATAGGAGTCACCCGGTGGTCGGCGGGTTGGTCGGTCAGTCCAGACGTCCGTTGCATTTTCCTTGTCCGGAGCATAACTTGAAGACTAATGGTTGGAATTCAATATAACTACATACAATGGTCAAGCACATTGAGAGGAAGTGCAGTGCACAAGAACCATAACTCTATCTTGACTAATTACAGAGTTATTGCCCTTTGTTACTTTTCCTTGTCCGGGGCATAACTTGAAAACTACTGGTTGGAATTAAAAACAACTTCATACAATTGTCAAACACAATAAGGGGAAGTGCAGTGCACAAGAACCATAACTCTATCTAAAGTAATTACAGAGTTATTGCCCTTTGTTACTTTTCCATTGCTTTCTTTTGTCCGGACCATAACTTGAAGACTAATTGTTGGAATTCATTATAACTTCATACAATGGTCAAGCACATTGAGAGGAAGTGCAGTGCACAAGAACCATAACTCTATCTTGACTAATTACAGAGTTATTGCCCTTTGTTACTTTTCCTTGTCCGGGGCATAACTTGAAAACTACTGGTTGGAATTAAAAACAACTTCATACAATTGTCAAACACAATAAGGGGAAGTGCAGTGCACAAGAACCATAACTCTATCTAAAGTAATTACAGAGTTATTGCCCTTTGTTACTTTTCCATTGCTTTCTTTTGTCCGGACCATAACTTGAAGACTAATTGTTGGAATTCATTATAACTTCATACAATGGTCAAGCACATTGAGAGGAAGTGCAGTGCTCAAGAACCATAACTCCATCTTGACTTATTACAGAGTTACTGCCCTTTGTTACTTTTCCTTGTCCATGGCAAGACATGAAAACTACTGGTTGGAATTCAAAACAACTTCATACAATGGTCAAGCACAATAAGGGGAAGTGCAGTGCACAAGAACCATAACTCCATCTTGACCAGAGCTGCATCAGTACTATGGGTGTAGTTCTTAAGTACCAGTACTTGGCAAATTATGCAGTACCATTACCAGTGCCAGTACTATATTTTGACTCGGTACTGCAGTACCAGTACTTTTTTTGGTGAAGTAATTAAGTAGCAGTACCATTACTTTTATATATTCATCAAATTTTGAATAAATACACAGTGTCAAACAAATAATTGCAAATATTATTCAGCAAAGAAATAAAATCATAATTTACTTTAAAGTTAACATAACATTTTACAACTTTATAGTTTTACATACTTTTTACAAACAATATTTACAACATATATTCATGTCATATCTTATTGTTTAGTAACCAGTCAACTGTAATACAATGCAATCATCTTTCATTTAAAACACAACAGTCTTTTGTTGCCTTTCACACCTTCACACCTCTGTTCAATTTATACCAAAGTAAATAACAATTTTTTTTTTTGGTGCTAACAATATCACTTGAAATAGGATTATTTAGAATAGAAGCAATTAATTAGTGATTATTTTGCTTTTTTACTAGTAAATACAAAGTAATAAAAGATTTTAATAAGGATATTTAGGGTAAATACCATAGTTATTGAGTCTGTTTATCTCAATTTAATTTTTATACTTAAAGTCTTTGGTGCTTTTTTATGATGAATACTATGTTAACATTTGAAGGAATATTGCAGCAAATTATCTATAGATTTGATAACTTACTTTTTCACAAAAATAAAATAATGTAATTTACAGCTTTATTTTTTTGAGAAAAATTGATGCTAT